AAAAAAAAAAAAAAATGTGTAGAAATTAGGATTATCATTATTTACTATAGTTTTTTTTTTATTTAATTTTTTGGGTAATTTCTGTAGGTTGTTTTTTAGCACGTGTAGTGTGGTAATGGCTGAATATGACAGTTGACTTCATATTAATTTCTGAAAACCAGAAGCAATTTGATCTCCAGAAAAAAAAATTAACTGTTATTTTTTTTTTTTTTGAAGTTACAATTAAATTTTAAGGTTTGAATAAGAGGTGTATGCAAATGGTATGTACTTGTCTCTTCGGAGATGTTTCGGTCCCGTTACAGAACCATTCCGTCGCGGTTTGTAACCATATGGGATTATTTTTTTGTTTTCCAAACGCTAAAGCATTAGTAAAACTCAAGAAACAAAGTACATCGGGTAATCCACTGATTACAACTAAATTCAAGGTTTTAAATAGCGGGCTAAAACGTTTATAGCACTGTAGCTATAGCGGAGATTTAGCGGGATTTAGCGGTTAAATTGCACGTGAATACAAATAGCGACACGCTGCCAAAAAAAGCTATTTTTCAAATAGCGGCAACTTTAGTGAGCAATTTATTTCTTTGCAACTAATAGTACCAACTAAGCATGGTTGGTAATTGAGCAAAGGATAACTACCTCAACTCTCTAACTAACAGGGATAATTGATTTAACGGTTACAAATTTCGACGGAATAGTTTCGAACATCTTCCAACGATTTAGAAGTGTTAATTTTCTTGAAAAAAAAAAGGGTGTGATTAATTGAATTTAAATTAACGTATAGTATTATATTTTGGGTAAACAGTGGAGTGCAACAGTTTTCTTCAACGGCACATCCTGCTATTTAATGCCATATGCTGAATCCCATGTTGTGCTGTGTTTACTTTAAAATTATTAAGTGCCAACCAAAATATATAGCTATTAATGAATTATGACTTTATCTCACCATACACCACACATGTTTTTTTTTTTTTTTTTGCTTCAAATACACTCAAATGCAGGATGTGTATTTAAAAAAAAGTTAATCTTGTGACAGTCAAAAACCCAGTTGATCGCTTATATTTATTTAAAAATTGTATATTAAAATTTCATATTTTAATTAAATATGCATATTAGCAACAAAAAAAAAAAAAGAAAAAAAAAAACGTTCAAATACTTAAGAAATTAGGCAACCTAGGCGCCCGTGTCTTTTTTTATTATATATATTTAATATTGTTTTTAAAATAGAATAAAATATATTTCAATTTTTTGCATGAGATATATAATTTTTTTTTTTCAAACAACAACTTTCATAAATAGAACACATTATTATTTCCAAAATACTTTATTTTTGTTATACTAATACCATCGTTATAAATATATAATTTTGATAATTTTTATATTTAATCACATTATTAGTGTAGAATGTATCCAGTAAAAAGCATGTGACGTATAAGTTAATTTCAATCAATATTCAACCAAGAAAAAGAACTCCTAAAACTATAAGAGATAAGTCATTTAATTAGATTTTTTAAAAGTCCAAAATAAATAATTTGGCTAATAAGAAAAAGATTAGGAGAAATAAATATGGGCTATGATAAATAAATATTATCCTACCAAAACAAAAACGCAAATACTAGTAAATAAAGCAAATAAAATTAAATTAATGATGTTAGACGTTCATGTTTATCCAAAAAAACCAGCGCAATCTCGTCTCCAACATCGAAGTAAACGACAACACACTACCCAATGAGGTCACACAATACTTTGTTCATCACACGTATGAAAGTTTTCGTCGTGTTCAACAAGCCGAAGAGCATGACCAACCATTCGAAAAGCCCCTCACGAATCTTGAATGCAATCTTCTGGCCGTATGTGAATTGATGATAGCCAATGCGGAGATTCAACTTGGTGAAGACTAAAGCCCCATAGAGCTGATCTAACAAATCATCTAAGCGAGGAATAAGAAAGCGGTATCACACCATAATCTTGTTAATCGTGCGACCGTCTAAACACAGGCGCTAAGAACTATCTTTCTTAGGGATGAGTAATGCGGGCACATCGTAAGGACACAAGCTTCGCCGAATCACGCTTCGTTGTAATAGTTTCCTCCACCTGACGACGCAGCTCCTCATGTTATATCGGACTCATCCAATAGTGCGATCAATTTGGAAGAGAAGCACCAGAAATTAAGTCGATCTGATGTTGGATATTGCGTAGCGAAGGCAAGCCAATCAAAAGATCATCCGGAAAGACATCCAAAACTCTTTAAGTAACGGTCGAATTGCCGTTGGGATTGAGTGCTCGTTCGTCGAATTCGTGCCCATGAGCAGAAGAACAAATGGGGTGCCCCGCATCTCGTGGACAAATGCCGTAATAGAGAGTAATAAAACTAGAGACGTCTCCGACCTAGACATTGAACAAAGCAGAGACAGGTGAAGAATGACATTAGGACCCTTGAAAAAAAGCCATATGTGGTAAAGTGGCTGTCATGCACAACCGAGGGATCAAACTGCCATGAACGGCCCAATAAGAGGTGAAATGCATCCATAGGCACCACGTCACACCAAATCTTATCTTTATACACGACTGCGATGGAAAAAGAGACCAACATAGGGTGATCCACTGTGATAGAATGTCCTCGTTGAATCCAATCAAGAGTATAAGGCTGAGGATGTGGCTCAGTGGACAACCGAAGTTTCTCAACGGCCTCTAAGGCCACCATATTCCCGCAGGAGCCCAAATTGATAATAAATTGGTAAACCACACCACCAACCGTGCACGTAGACTTAAAAATATGGTGTCGCTAAACTGAATCCTCGATGATGATCGCGACAACAAACATGATTGAAGAAGAACGAGGGTGGGACCCACATTACCACACAAATGCTCCTCCACCACAAGAGGATCCTCAACCGACACAGACGGGCTCTCGTACTTTGGTGCATTTTTAACGTCGGCGAACATCATACGGGAGCCGCTTGGCTTAGGGAAAGTTGTCTGCCAATGGCCTGTCTCACCTCATGAATAGCAGCACAAGCCACCAGCTAACCTGGAGCCCACATCCAGTGTCGTTCCCGCTAGACGAGTGTTGGGGTGTCACAGTAAGGACGCTTGTGCCCATCTGTACTGTCGAAAAAACAGAAGACGCACCTAGTGTGCGAGCTGCTGCTCTATTTTAGAGCATGGATCATGGTGATTTTAAGATTTGTTGATGATTGTTGATGATGTTGAGGAGATGTGATGATGATCATGACCAGTATACTTTGATGAGCTTGATGTGACATTTTGTTGGACATTATCTACCTTATGTGAGGGTTTGAGCCTTATTTTGCTTCTTGAGAGATATTGGTCAAATTCTTGTTAATCAGAACTTGCTTTGAGTTTATTTTGAAATTAATTGATTGAAGTAGTGAATTGTGAATATGATAGAGGCATTTCTTTGATATAGCTCGTTTTTGCCTTTTCCATTGACCCTTGAGATTATATTTCCATTAATAGCCCGTTGAGCCTTAAACTGTATTTCTTGTCAACCGTTTGATTGAATTATTTGAAGATTTGACAATGCATTTCTTATGATGACAGAGTTTCTAATATGTGTTTGGAGAAGGTGAATAATTTGTTGGAGTTGCATTTTGGGTACTTGACAAAAAATAAAAATAAAAAAAATAAAATAAAAAAAAAATAAAAAAAAAAATGGGGACTTGAAAGACGGACGAAAAGGATTCTACTCCGCTTACTTATGGAATTTTTCACGAGTAATGAGTATTGAGAAACTACTCTATGAAACTTGGATGACCTCCAATGTTTAAACCTAGAGAATGATGTCCTTACGTCTCGGTTTGTTAGGAAAAAGCAAAACCCCTTAAAAAAATAAAGAGATAATAAAAAAAAAGAAAAAGTTGAGTACTTGAAGTGCAATTCAGTTGAGCATATATGAATGTTGCATGGAGTTTTGATGGGAATGATTGATGTTGTGCTGATTTTGGATAGGTGGTGGGATATTCGAGTAGTTTATATGCTCGAAGATGTGATTGTTTATTTGAGCCATTCTGTCCTTATATTTTTCCTTCCCTGATGCCTACACTGCAACCCGAAAGTCCTTTTGATTTACAATTCATTATTTTGATTGTTTTAGAGTATGAATAGACAATGAGCAAGCTTATGTTGATGCATTATGATCGACCAATGTGAGAGTCCCAGTTCTATATTCACGAAAGAAACTGAGTGAGGCATATATATATTATATAACCGTGCTCGAGAGTTGTCTTTTCGAAATGTTGCATTCAAGTGTAGTTGAGGTATGCATGATTGGTCATTGGAATTCTCCCCGGCTAAGTTGATTAATTTGAGACTTGTCTTAACTGAAACCATTAGCCATGCTCGTTTGCTTGTTCTCGTGTTTTTTCTTTTCTTTTTGTTCGGGACGAACAAAGGTCTTAGTGTGGGGGAGTTGTTTGTCCCATTTTTGTTGCGTTTTTCGTGATTATTTTTCTTTTATTTTTCTCCCATTTTATGTTTTTGCTCTTAGTTTAGGTCCGTTTCGTTTCTTTTCGTGTGTTTTCATTTGTTTAGAGTCTTTTGGTGTTTTTCTATTATTTTTTTTGTTTTCTCCGTTTTTGTGTTCGTCTTATGGTGTGCAGGTTGAATCCTCGGTCGACT